TTCAGGAGGCGCAGAGACAACAATTATTGTGTCAGACATTCATGATGATGGCTATGGAAGCTGAGGCAAATGACAAGGTCATTACTGGTAAGAGTTGTTCATTCTCAGTTTTGCTTGCATAAGATTTTTCCTTAATTAGTATTGCCTAATGATATTATTATAGAATTTGTTTATGAGTGCTAACTTAGTTGCGTTCTCCTTCTTTTGCACTAGGCAAGGTTCTTGTTTCTTCCATACCAACCCTATCACTTTTTGACTCAGGAGATTCCCGTTGTTACTTATCTCGCCGCTTCGTGACCACACACTCACTTCCTATAACTTCTCTTTCCTCGGGTTGGAATATCAACACTGGAGGTGGTATCTTATTAGTGGCATCTAGTAGTTATGAAGCATGTCCTGTGGTCATCTGTGGGAGAGAACTCTTCGCAGATTTCCTGGTGATCGATTTGCCAAACTTCGAGGCAAAGTTTGGAATGGATTGGTTGGGTACATTCTTCGCCACTATCGATGGTCGCTATCGGATTGTGGTATTTTAGATTTCGCATCACCCGAGGTTTGAATTCCTTAATGGCAATATCTAGGTCGGACCTGCGAAGCATAGAGCTAGACCAAAGGAGGCATATTGTAGTTCGAGAACTTAAAGATGTATTCCCCGATGACATTTACGGGTTGCCACCGGATTAGGAAAATGAGTTTTCCATAGAAGTGAAGCGTGGTACTGCCCCGATCTCCAAGACCCCTTATCGTATGCCTCCAGCTGAGTTTGCCGAGCTTTGGACTCAGTTGGATGATCTTATGCACAGAGGTTTGATACGACCCAGTGTATCGGCCTGGGGAGCACCTGTGTTGCTTGTGGGTAAGAAGGATGGATCCAAGCAGATGTGCATCGACTACCAGGAGTTGAATGCTATGACAGTGAAGAATAAGTATCCTCTTCCTCGTATCAATGATATCTTTGACCAGTTGGGAGGATCGAGAGTATTTTCTAAGTTGGATCTACGGAGTGGATATCACCAGGTGAAGATCAAGGACTCTGATTTTCCTAAGACTGCGTTCCGGACGAGATACGGACACTATGAGTTCTTAGTGATGTCGTTTGGTGTGACTAATGCACTGGCGACATTCATGAACTTGATGAACCTGGTGTTCTATGATGTGCTGGACAAGTTTATAGAAGTCTTTATTGATGATATCCTGGTATACTTCAAGAGTGAAGCAGACACTTGCAGTACGTGTTACATACACTGAGAGAGCATCGGCTGTTCGCCAAGTATAGAAAGTTCCAGTTCTGGCTAGATCGCATCTCATTTCTAGGACACATGGTGTCAGGAGACAGCATATCTGTGGACCCAGAGAAGGTATCCGCTGTTAGGGATTGGCTTACCCTTAGGACAGTATCTGACATTAAGAGCTTCCTACGGCTAGCTAGATACTACTGCCGCTTCATCAAGGATTTCTCGAAGATCGCGAAGCCAATGACATGACTTATGAGGAAGGATATTAGATTTGTCTGGTCCGACGCTTGTGAGCAAGCATTCGAGGAGTTGAAGTCTTGACTGATCTCAGCCCCGGTCTTGATAATATCAGACAAGGGTGGGAACTTCGAAGTGTTCTGCGATGCATATGGTAGAGGATTTGGATGCGTTCTTGAGTAGAACGGTCATGTAGTAGCATATGCATCTCGTCAGTTGAAGCAGCATGAGAAGAATTACCCTACCCATGACCTAGAGTTGGCAGCTGTAGTTTTTGCTCTCAAGCTTTGGAGACACTATTTGTTGGGAGAGTTGGTGAAGGTGTTTACTAACCACAAGAGCTTGAAGTACATCTTCACACAGAAGGAGCTCAACATAAGATAGCACAGATGGTTAGAGCTGATGGAAAACTACGACATCGATCTTCAGTACCACCCTGGCAAGGTCAATGTGCTGCCAGATGCTTTGAGCTGTTTGCCGGTGATCATTACCCTCACAGCTCAGTGGAGACTTTAGCAGGAAGTGAGGGATATGAGTATATAAGTTGTGCTTCTAGGAGTCACTAATTCTTTGATGAGACTTCGGGTTCAATCGACACTGGTCAAGCAAATCAAGGTTGCACAGTCAGGTGACGCATTTCTTCAGAGATGTAGAGAGTTAGTAACAGCTGGTCTTCGGCCGGACTTTGTTGTGCATGAGGACGGGTCCTTACAATTTGGGAGTCGTATCTGCGTGCTAGAAGGAGATGTCCGAGAGGAATTATTACGGGAAGCTCACAACTCACAGTATTCTATTCACCCTATAGGCACTAAGATGTACAAGGACCTGAAGCTGAACTTTTGGTGGCATGGTATGAAGAGAGACGTTGCTCATAGTGTGACAAAGTGCCTTGTCTACCACCAGGTGAAGGAAGAGCATCAGCGCATCGTAGGCCTGCTGCAGCCATTGCCTATTCCGGAGTGGAAGTGGCAACACATCACCATAGACTTTGTTATTGGCTTACCTTGGAGCACTAGACAGAATGATGTTGTTTGGGTGATCGTAGATCGATTAACCAAATAGGCTCACTTCATTCCATTCCGAGTGGGACAGTCAACCGAGCATCTTGCTAAGAGATACATGGAGGTAAAATATTTATCTCTATATATTTCGATGGGTTCCTTTTCCTAAGAATGTTAGTAAATTCCTAGTATTGCAGGAGATCGTGCAATTACACGGAGTTTAGTGTGCATCGTCTTGGACCGTGATACCTGATTTACTTCAGAGTTTTGGAAGAATTTGCAGGGGAGTCTTTGGACCAGTCTCATTTTTAGCACAGCTTATCATCCTCAAACCGATGGGCAATCAGAAAAAGAACCATTTAGATTTTAGAGGATATGCTTAGAGCTTGTATGCTTGACTTTCACAGATCGTGGGAAGATCACCTGCATTTAGTGGAGTTTGCATACAACAAAAGTTTCCAGGCTAGTATTTGAATGGCTCCTTTCGTGGCATTGTATGGGAGGAAGTGCCGCTCGCCTTTAAGTTGGGACGACGTTGGCGAGCGAGAGACTTTTGGGACCGAATTGATTGCCAAGTCAGTTGATGCTGTAAGGATCATTCAGGAGCGACTTCGCATAGCGCAGGACCGATTCAAGCATTGGACTGATGCGAAGCGTCGACACTTGGAGTTTCAGCGAGGAGCTGAATCTTAGCTGTCACATCTTGTACCTTATCTTGTATCGTTTTTATATTACGTTCCCCTTTGCTTATGGACATGTAATCTATTTTGAAGCCTTCTCTGTATGTGTTGAATTGAGTCTCTAGTTCTCTATTTTTGTCTTTAGTTTCTGTGTGCATCACCCTTATTTTAATACCGAGGACGGAATTTATTTTAAGGAGGGTAGGATGTAATGACCGTAAATTTCTAATACGGGTTTAAATAATTTTCTAGTATTTAAATATTAAATATTATTTTTCTAAAAGAGTATTTGTATTTTTCCCAATTCCTCTAGAATTTTCTACTATTTAAAAATACGATATTATATTATTTTAATGGTTTTGCTAATTAAAATTTTAATTGTTTCGGTAAAACATTTTACATTAATATTTAATTATTCATTATTGTTATTGTTATTATTATTTTGACCATAAATTTTCAAAATTTATTTGAATAAATTTTCTAATATTATAATTATTATTTTTAAAGGGGTATTTTCCCAGTGTTTTCCCTCTCACCTGTAAATCACTCTGTCTCTCTCTCTCTTCATCTCTCTCTCTCTCTCCTCTACCCCACACCCCTTAATTTCCTCCCCTATGTTTCCCGCACACCCCTCCCTCGTGTTTTCTCCTGTTTCCCTCAAAAATCCCCCATGCTCATCCTCTCTCATTCACACTCTCACACACTCTCTCTCACTATCATTCTCACTCTCTCTCTCTCTCTCTCTCTCTCTCTCTCTCTCTCTCTCTCTCTCTAATCAAATCTCAGCCCTCTTCCACCGACAACCATAGTCGGCGGCCGCGGTCGCTCCGCCTCATCTGCCACTGGGCCTGAGACTACATGCTCCCCGACGCAACCGCCTGTCAGCTTTCACGCCCGGACCTTATGTCCAAATAATGCGCGAGCCACAAGCCCAAGGGCCTGAGCTCGCCGGGCCTTCTTTGAGCTACCTCTGTTTGCTGGCCCGCCTATGCGTGCCTGGGCCACTCCGCAGTCGCTGACCCGCACCTCAAGGCGTCGCCACCGAGACCCACCACTCACCAACTCTCTGCTTTTCTGTCCCGCACACACCATCTCGCGACCCGAAACCGACTTCCAGCACCCCGCTACCTCCCTGAAGCTCCGCCCGACGAGGCCAGCCCCCCTCTCTCTCTCATTCCTTAGCCGCGGAATCGTCGTCACCGGACGTCACCGTCTTCGCTGGGGCAAGCTCCTTCGCGCAAGCCGCAAAGCCCATCGCGAACAGACACCCAACGACACCCGCGCAGCAGCCCTCTGATGAACTCCGTCGTCGTCGCTGTCCCCAAACAGCAACGTCACCATCGTCTTACCATCGCCGCTCGTCGTTGTCCCCTCTCCCGCTGTCCAACTCTGACAGCCCTTCAACCACCGAGTCGCCTCATCCGTAGACCCGTAACCTCGTATGGCGACATCGATTCATTCGACAAAAACCCTGAGGCAAGATCCCTCTTGCTCAAATCTGAATTTTAGATTCTTTATAAATTATATGCATATATTTGACTATATTGTGATTAGTTGTAGCGTTTAGATTGTGATATAATTATCTGCGTAGGATTGTTTGATGAATAATATTAAATAAATTATAGTAATGTGATAAATAGCATTTTCAGAATTAAAAGAATTTATTTCGGTAAAAGAAACATTTTTAGGATAATTATGATGTTTTAAATAATTTATTTTGATAAAAAAATTATTTTTAGAATAATTATTATAAATTAAAAGAATTTATTTCGTTAACAGAATCATTTTAGATAATTATAATGATTTAAAACAATTTATTTTGGTAACATAATCATTTTAGAATAATTATAAATAATTTAAAGGAAATCTATTTTGAAAAAGGAATTATTTTTGATCTGCTCACTACTACTGTACACACACACCGTATTGTTCATAGTTACTGTTTGTGATTTATAATTCTTAAATTTAATTATGTGATATGCCATGATATTATTGCACATGATCAATTACATCTATTATTTTTGTTGTGATTGAGAACTGTTAGTAATTCATGACCTTAGTGGCCTTGTAAAAGACTTAGAGACAAGTGTATGTTGACTTAGAAAAACAAGAAGAGTTTTGAGGGGAAGTATTTGTTCATGTGATCAGATGTGGCTATTGATGTATCTTCCAAACTCGCACCAGTGAACCGTTTCTCACTGGGGTTAGTTTGTTGGGCCAAGTGAATCGTTTCGTACTTGGTCAGTGAAATCGTTTCGTCACCCGAGTTTTGCTTGAGTTCGGACCAGGCCGAAACCAGATTGCGTGTAGTCCTCTCATCGAAACGTTTCATGGGTTTGGATGCACGTAGAGGATTTGTGAATAGTCAGTTATCCAAAAATATGAACATTGACTCTATGTGAGAAATGGACTAATAACCTGTTATAGGATGGTTAGTTATATAATCTCGTTATTTAGATGATTATGGATCCTTGTGAGATACTGACTAATTATATTCTTTTCATACGTAGATCGGGATTAATATTTAATTATCTACAATCTGAGATATATGGTTTATACATGAGGGTTTCCTTATTTGGATTATTTCGCTCGACATACCACGTCTCTAGTTGTAGATTTTTTTAAATATTAATTCCTTCTAGTTGTATGACCCTATTACTTGGATGATTATTCTGATCGCTAGTTGCATGACCTCATTACCTGGTTGATATTTAGATTCTTCTGATTATTATATTCTAGTGATAGATTACATTTAGATTATTAGAATTCTAGTACCATGCTCCTATTTATTATTACTATTATTGCATTGGTCGTTCGACCATTTCTTTTCTTCCTTGTGGGATCTTACCGTGTCCCATGCACATTGACGTACTCTTATTCTCTCGGGTTGTACGTCAGATCTAGAAGACGGACGGCATCAGTTCGGAGTCGTACAGGAGCTAGAGGATCCTTCGCAAGAGTGCTTTGTAGAGCGAGCAGAAGAAGCCGAAGCCTAGTCATTTCTTTTATCATTTGTTGGTCCTTAGTTTACTATTATAGCACTTCTATTTCCACCTGATCGATGTATTATATATTTTTCCAGTATTTTATTCAGATAGTTTTGTATAAGGGCATGTTTGGCTAGAATATTATGTCTGGGATGATGTTTCAGTTGTGATATGTTTCATTTTGTTCGGAGTTGTTTATTATATTTTCGCTACTGTGATCGGGGACATGTGCCTTTACTTTATATTCCTTGACACTTAGCGTATTAGATTGAGCAGAGATGGTCTACTACTTATTTCCCCTTAGTCTAACACATCGTAGGCTTACTCGCGTCCCGATTCCCTGGTATTTTGGGAAGTGGGGTGTGACACTGGGGTTCATTGATATCGCTTGAGGAAGAAGAGGAACAGGGTTCACCGGAGCTTAAAATGAAAATCTTTCGTTGAAATATTTCGGAGAAGAAAGAGTCGAATGACTCTCGATTTGACCCCAACGGTCTATTTATAGACAGTTGTGATCTGTCAAATCAGGACAAGATTCTAGGCTAGAATCTTGCCAGACACGACCTCTACGTTTGTGTTAGATTTAGTTGAACCTCTGAACGCAGAGTTCACCTCTGCGTCTCAATGCTTAAGCACAAAGTCCACTGGTGCATTTCAGCGCCACAAAACGAACATTTCGACGACCAAGGCTATGACATAGCTTCAAATAAATAAATAGAAGCTAACATTGGCCATCAAGGTGACAAAGGTCGAGAAGAAACTAACCTTTTACAAGAAACTTTGCAGTCTCTTGGATGAGTACAGACAGGTTATAATTAATGATGCTGAAACCATCAAGCTTAATTTGTCGCACAACTCATCCTTCTTATTAGCTTAACATTCCAACCAAGATTAACAAAGCCAAAAGGTGCTCAACTTCACTGAAGAAGACTGCGTTGACAAATTTGTAGCTGTTGTTTCTATGGTGGCTTCGCTATCATCGGCTCTCTTATTACTTAACTCCCGCGGCTGTGTGTTGGGTGTTCATCAATGCCTACAAGAATCTTCTGACTGGTGTTGTTGACATTGAATACACCTCCGTATAAGTTGAAGGAGTATCTCAAGGATCCAAACAAATTCGCTGTCACTATCACTCATGTTGCATTGATCGAGATGGCTTGGGTTTTAGCTTGTTTGACTATGTTCATTGTCATCAAGACATAAAAGTTACCTTATTTGGTTTAACAACAATGACTTGGGCTTTAGCTTGTTTGACTAAGTTCATTATTATCAAGACACAAAAGTTACCTTGTTTGGTTTAACAACAAAGACTTGAGCTTTAGCTTGTTTGACTAAGTTCATTGTCATCAAGACACAAAAGTTACCTTGTTTGGCTTAAGGAAGCTGAATCACAA